AAGGGGGGAGGCGGGGCCTGCAGGGAGGGGCGGGGCGTGGGGAAAGGGGCGGGGCAGAGGTGGGGCTTTGGGGGTCCAGCTGGCAGCACTGGGAAAGCTGGCACCCCCTCCAGAAGGCGATGGGATACTTCCAGAGAGGGTGAGGACCACATGCATGTGAGATCCCAGAAGGACATCATCTTTAAGGGGATGCCAGCCTGTCCCCGCTGGTGTGACCCCTTACTCCTGGGGAGGGCAAAGTCCAGCCCCATGGGGGCCACTGCTTGAAAAAATGCCCTGCCCCGCACTGTTGTTTCCTACGTGCAAGGTCATACTGCGAGCAGGGTGCCATTTTGAAGTCAGAGGGGGGCAGAACGCTGTCCCCCATCCCAGACAAGGCCAAACTCCATCTGTCTTCATCCCAGTACTGAATAGGGCACAGACTGCTCAAAAAGAGGCCCATCCAGATTAATACTGGACAAGTGGGGCAGGACACCACGCGATATGAAAACAAGACAACGTCACACTGAGATAAAGCTCTACTGGGCAGTACAGACCCAGCCCAGGAGCACAGGGAAGGCGGGCAGCATAGTCCAAGCCCAGGCCACCCTGGGAGTCTGCAGGGAGCCAAGTGGAATTGGGGAGGAGGGTGCGGAAACTAGAAGGGGAGCACGACCGGCTGCTTGGGGAGGTATTGCCTCCCTCAGCCTCTGATACCCACCTCCCAGGCTCTGCATATTGCATTTGCTTAGCACTTGGCAGCCCAGAGCAGGGAGAGAGTGTGGGTAGGAAGCTAGAAACACTAAGGAAGTGGCAGTGTTTTGCAATGAGTGCACAGTCCCCATATAGGGATGTTAAATTTCGATTAATTAACTAATCGAATAGTTGATGGAATTTCCATCCACTATTTGACTTATTTGTGGATAAGAATGTCCACCTTCTGCCTTTGAAATGTACAAGAGACCCATTTCACAGATTGAAATGCTGCATGGAGCCTGGGACCAGCAGGGAGTCCTGCAGACCCTGGGCTCCATGCCTGAACTTCAGCTTTGAAATGTACAAGAGCCCCAGCAGGGACTCTTGTACATTTCAAAGACTGAAGCTGTTCCAACTTTGAAATGTACAAGAATCCCTGCTGGGAGTCTTGTACATTTCAAAGTTGGCAGCTGTGATCCTGCTTCCTCCCACAGAGCTGGAGGGAACCGGCTTTTAAGCCGGCTCCTTCCAGGACCCCGTTTTACCCCCCCTTTGTGATAGAGGCAGCAAGGTGGAGGGGAAGCGACTAGTAAATTAGTCGCTTACATCCCTATCCCCATATCCAGCCAGCTTATCCTGACACAATATTTGGACTTTCCTTAATGCCTTGCTCCAGCATGAGGTGATCCAGTGAGAATAGCTGCTTTAATTTACAAAGGTGGTCACAGATCTTCTGTAAAAGTTGTTCTGTGAGGCATGTTGCCCTGCCCCATCCCTTTCAGGTGTATGTCCACCTGCTTCTGGTCATTTTCCCCTCAGAGGCACCTGTTGCCATGAGGCACCTCACCATCCTCCTGCTGTGGATAAATCTCGGCAACATTTCCATATGACCATGTATCATTCTCATATGACTTTGTATTAAGAGAAACTTCTTAAGTCCTTTTATAGATACAGATCTTGTCCTTTTAGATATATCTTTATGTTAAGCCTTCTTATAGAATCCCTTGTATCCAGTCTTTTCCCTAGAAACTTTGTATCAAGCTCTTTATGTTATAGGTCTTAGGCATAGTTAAGGTAAAGAAAAATGTTTTTTGCTAGGAGTAGAACAGATCTCTCCCCTTTCATTGATTGTCCTGTTGAAATGAATGAGGTGTGAATGGAGAATGAAAGGTGAGCACCTCAAGCAGCAGTTGCAAGGGTGGAGAGGGGCTGGGAGCCAGATCCAAGACAATACCTGTGAAGTGAGGTCATGGAAATGAAGACTGGACATACAGAGGCCTTGGGAGTCGAGCAGCAAGTGCCTGCCCTTGGAAGGACCCTCTTTGAAGCAACATTATAAAAGGCAAGGAGATGACTAATGGGCTGCATGAGAGGGATAAATAGGAGGCATCTTGCAGAGGGACCCCAGGTTTTCGTCTTGTCAACATGGGAGCATCGATCTGAATTGGCAAAAGCCAACCTCCACCCCTCCCCCATCTAACTCACCTGGCCAGTGCAGTTAGGGGGAGCAACTTGGTAACAAGACGGAGTGTGCTTGTGCGTGTGTGAGAGAAAGTGCAAGAGTGTAATGTATCATATGCATATGATAAAGTATTGATTGATCTCTGTATGTTCAATAAATGTGGCGTGTTGCCTTATCCCCCCCGAAAAAGATCCCAGGTGCTTCTTTTAAGCACAACACTGTCCCCTCAGTTCCTTCTTTCCAGGAGATGAGGATGCATAGGGTTGGCGGGGGGATTGTGGAAGACACATACAACACACCTGCAAGAACATCCAATGAAGAATATTCCGTATCTGTCCATAGGCTGGTTTGGGGCAACTGCCCCAAATCCTGTGTGGCTTTGGAAAGCCACCCAGCAGTCGCCTCAGTTTTCTCATGGTCACCCCCTCCCTGCCGCCACTCACTCATTGCAGTGGCAGAAGCCAGCCCAACCCTGCCAGCCTCTCCAAAGCCACTGTGGCCCATGGCAGCAGAAAGCAGCATGGCCTGGCCTCAGGACACTCTGCTTCCCACTACCATGGAGAAGTGGAGCACAGTGGCTGGGAGAGGCCAGCGGGGTGGAGCAGAGCAGGATGGGGGATTGGCACTAGGCTGATCAAAGGTCCAGAAAAGGGCAACAAAAATGATGAGGGGTTTGGAATGGGTCCCATATGAAAAGACATTAAAAAGACTTGGACTTTACAGCTTAGAAAAGAGGAGACTAAGGGGGATATGATAGAGGTCTATAAAATCAAGACTGGTGTGGGAAACGTGAATAAGGAAAAGTTATTTAGTTGTTCCCATAACATATGGACTAGGGGGTCACCAAATGAAATTAATAGGTAACAGGTATAAAACAAACATAAGAACGTTTTTCTTCATGCAGCGCACAACCTGTGGAACTCCTTGCCAGATGATGTTGTGAAGACCAGGTCTGTAACAGGGTTCAAAAAGAACTAGATAAATTCATGGAGGTTAGGTCCATTAATGACTATTAGCCAAGATGGGTAGGAATGGTGTCCGTAGCCTCTGTTTGTCAGAGGCTGGAAATGGTTGAGATCACTTAATAATTACCTGTTCACTCCCTATGGGGCACATGGCTGCTGTTGGAAAACAGGACAGTGGGCTAATTGGACCTTTGGTCTGACCTAGTATGGCCATTCTTATGTTCTCACATGCTAGGGGGGCTTGTGAGAACAATAGAAACCACCAAAACTGCTTGAGCCTCCTACAGACGCCTCATAGCACAGGAGTGGGCAAAATATTGCCCGCGGGCTGGATCCATCCCACTGTTGCCCAGTGGGACCCTCAGGCAGCTTCCAGGCAGCTGCAGTCCCAGACTGCTCAAAGCAGCCAGCTGCTGAGGCCAGAGTGTGTGTCTCTGTGTGATGAGTGTCCCTTGGAGGAAGGGAGTCTCCATGCCTTGCCCCCACCCCCATCATCATCCTTGCACTCTTCCATGCAAGCTGCAAGGGCGCTGCTTGTGGGAGTGTAGGGGTGAAGAATGAAATTGCCCTTTTAATGAACTATGGCTACCAATGTTATGTATCCCCATATTGTAAAGGAACCCCCGTTTGAAAGCGTTATACATTGCAACTAAAGTGACCCCATTTTACACTTTGTACTGCCTCACTCTGTTTAAAGTTAGGTGTGTGTCTGTAATCTCATTTAAAAGTGTCTATGTGTGAGTGTGTGTAATGGAATCAGCCCCCTCAGCGACCAGCTGCCAGAACCACCTTGAAGGCCAAAGAACAATGGGAACAAGCCCTGCAAAAGCACCCATCCAAAATATGAAACAAGAGTTCTATCTGCCTTAAGTGATCACTCATGGTCATAGGCTATGTCTAAACTGCAGGCTTCTTTTTGGGACCAGCTCTGTTCAATATCTTCATCAACGATTTAGATATTGGCATAGAAAGTACGCTTATTAAGTTTGCAGATGATACCAAGCTGAGAGGGGTTGCGACTGCTCTGAAGGATAGGGTCATAATTCAAAATGATCTGGACAAATTGGAGAAATGGTCTGAGGTAAACAGGATGAAGTTTAATAAAGACAAATGTAAAGTGCTCCACTTAGGAAGGAACAATCAGTTTCACACGTACAGAATGGGAAGCAACTGTCTAGGAAGGAGTATGGCAGAAAGGGATCTAGGGGTTATAGTGGACCAAAAGCTGAATATGAGTCAGCAGTGTGATGCTGTTGCAAAAAAAAAAAAAAAGCAAACATGATTCTGAGATGCATTAACAGGTGTGTTGTGAGCAAGACACGAGAAGTCATTCTTCCACTCTACTCTGCACTGGTTAGGCCTCAGTTGGGCTACATCTACATTGGCATGATTTTGCGCAAGAACTCTTTTGCGGAAGAGTTCTTCTGCAAAAACTCTTCCAGAAGAGAGCGTCTACACTGGCATGTGCTTTTGTGCAAGAGCATCCATGCCAGTGCAGGCGCTCTCTTGCGCAAGAAATCTCTGATGGCCATTTTAACCAGAGGGCTTTCTTGCGCAAGAAATTCATGTTGCCTGTCTACACTGGCCTCTTGCACAAGAACAGTTGCGCAAGAGGGCTTATTCCTGAGCGGGAGCATCAGAGTTCTTGTGCAAGAAGCACTGATTTCATACATCAGAACGTCAGTGTTCTTGTGCAAGAACTCATGCCAGTGTAGACAGGCAGTAAGTTTTGGCACAAAAGTGGCTGGTTTTGCGCAAGATCGCACCAATGTAGACACAGCCCAGTTGTTTACAGCTGAGTTACTTCCTTGTTGTGTTCCTACCACTTGCCTGTCCTTTACACAACAAAACATTTGGGACCTGCTATTAATGGCTAAAATATCTGCAAACAGCACACTCTCAGTACCTCTCCTTTCCTTATTTCACCAGCAAGCCTAGCAATCTGTCACACGTATATTTCATACTTTGCATAGCTGCACAGCCTTCTGGGACTTCACAAGCTAACAAGTCACAATAGGGCTTCATCAGTTGCAAGTTAAATGGGGCATTTTCTCTTTTCATTTCTTACCCAACTCTCTACCCAGCTTTATTTTCAGGAGTAAACTGTGAAACATTTTAAGCAGCTATTCATATGGCTAAGTAGCAGGTCCCTGTAGAAAGAATTACGGGTATTTTTTTCTGGATACCTTCAGTGGACTGTGGGATGTACAACTCAAAGAGGAAGTAGGATCGGCATTACCAATTACAATAGCCAATTTTCAATACTTGCCTTCCACACATTGGCAACCCATTATTACCCATATGCCCTTGGAAGAGAGCTGCATCATTAGTCAATAGTGCTATATTCAGTTAGTGCCTAGCACACAGCTACTTTGTGTATGTGACAGGGCTGATTTAGTCTTGTTCTCCCATCATCTTTAAAACTTCTCTTGCTAACGGCTTAAAAATTATCACCGTAACTTCCCATGATGACGCACTTATTCATAGGAAGTTCTGCTGGTATAACTGTACTAGCAAAATTTAAGGAGTAAGCCCTGAGATACGTATTACAAATACAGTTGCACAGTGCCAAAAACAGAGGAAAAATAACCTTTCTACTCCACTTCAAGATCTCCCTGGTTTTGCATCTCAGGACTGCACTGTTTTGGAGACAGCAATACATTGGGAGCTCATAGTCAACTGAATATTTACTATAACCCCAAATTTTTTCCAGGCTCACACCTTCCCAGGAAAGAATCCGAAAGGCATTCATACATGAAGGCATTTACGTTTAGCAGCATTAAAATGCATAATGTTTTCTTGTGCCCAGTTTGCAAAGTGACCCAGTTCACTGTGAATCAGCGACCTGTCCTGTTTGTTATTTCTGTGTCTCTTGCAAACTCTATCAGCCTTTTTTTCCAGGTCATTGATAAAAACGTTGTAATAACCAATCTCTACAGGATCTCAATAGGAACACACCTATTCAATGATGAGTCATTGTTTACAGTTACAGTTGACATATCTCAGTTAGGTTATCAATCTGTTAAGTGACATGATAATTTTATATATAATACCTGGGTCATCCGAATGTGTGGAGGATGCCATTTTAGTCTACAAACAGGTATCCTGCATGTGTGCTCAGGGGCCGGATGGGATTGTCTCACTGGCACAGCCAGCCAGGAAGGCATATTCCGGGCTCACAAGGGGATGCAGTTCAGGCTTGGCATCCACAGATGGCATGCCACTGCTCAACTCGCAAAATTCAACTCCACGCCCTCGAAATCCCCACTAATCATTCCCCGACCCCATTTCACAAATCTGTTCCTCTCTTCACAAGTTTTGTTCCTCTCCCACATCCTGCTCCCATAATAATAAATAAGGCAATAATACCCACCCATTCTAAAATACAAGATTTGATGAGGATAAGTGAGAGTGAAGAATTTAAAAAGTTCCACTCTTGTTATTTTCTATCATCACGATTGCAGATCTATTTGATATAAATGTACATTTGCTGTACTGAGTTTCTTGTGAAGTTTTGCCAAGTGTTTATTAAGATCTGATGGACCTTTGAAGCTTTTCCCACATTCAGAACATCTGTGAGGTCTCTCTGTCCAATGCACAGACTGATGCTCAGTAAGCTTGGACTTCACACGAAAGCTTTTCCCACAAACCATACATTCATGAGGTCTCTCTCCCCGATGCAGAGATTGATGCTGGGTAAGGCTGGACTTCTGACGAAAGTTTTTCCCACATTCCATACATCTGTGAGGTTTCTCCCCACGGTGCAGAGATTGATGCTGGGTAAGGCTGGACTTCTGACAAAAGCTTTTCCCACATTCCGTACATTTGTAAAGATTCTCTCCCCGGTGCAATAACTGATGCTGGGTAAGGCTGTACTTATGACGAAAGCTTTTCCCACATTCCGTACATTTGTAAGGAGTCTCTCCCTGGTGCAACAACTGATGCTGGGAAAGAGCAAACTTCTGACGAAAGCTCTTCTCACACTGGGTGCATTTATATGGCCGCTCTCCGGTGTGTATTCTCATGTGTTTAGTCAGGGTTGATTTCCGCCCAAAACCTTGCCCACAGTCTGTGCATTTATAAGGTTTATCCCCAGTGTGGGTTCTACGGTGACTGGTGAAGTGTCCACGCAGTCTAAAGCTTTTGTCGCAGTCAGGACACTGATAAGGTCTCTCTTCCCTGTGGATTCGCTGATGTGCTGTAAGGTATGAATATTCACTGAAGGTTTTCCCACAATCAGTGCAAATGTAGTTTTTCTCCTCTTTGTGGGTCCTTTCGTGTCTGCTGAGTATCGATCTGTACACAAAGCTCTTTCCACACTCAGCACATACATAAGGTCTCTCTCCGGTGTGGTTCTTCTGATGCCTTCGAAGGTGAGCATGCTGTTGGTAGCTTTTTCCACATTCAGAACAGCTGTAACGTTTCTCTTCCTGGTGAATTTTCTGATGCACAGCAAGGACTGAGCTGCTATTGGAGCCTGTCTCCTTGTCACCAGTTTTGCTTGTTTCTGCTCCGCTGTTGGTGCTCTGGGCGGTGATAGTGCTTTTCAGTTTCCTGGAATCTCTTTCATTGCGGTTAGCCACACTGCCTCTTTTGCCTGCAGGGCGTCTCTGCTGCCTTCGTGCTTTGCCCTGACTTCCATTGCCTTTTCCCTGATCAGGACCCCAGGGACTTCCTGAGAGTGTCCTATGCGATTCTGCTCTTGTAGGTCCTTCACATGGAAGATTCTTAGCCTCACCTTCACTCATGATCCCATCGTTAAATCCTCCATGTTCCACTCCTGCATGGATTCTCTGATGCTGAATAAGTCTCTCTCTCAGGACAAAGAGCTGACCACAGTCTGGACACTTATAAGGTCTCTCCACCCTATGGACGATGTAACGATGATATGCAAGGATCGTCTTCTCTCTAAATCTTTTCCCACACTCAACACATTTATAAGGTTGTTCCATTCTGTGACTCATGGCATGATCTTTGAGCACTGAACTCCGACTGAAGCTTTTCCCACACTCTTTACATTTATATGGTCTCTCTCCTTTGTGAGTTCTCAGATGTAAGTGCAGGTGTTTTTGTTGTGTGAAGCTTGATATGCAAGGATCGTCTTCTCTCTAAATCTTTTCCCACACTCAACACATTTATAAGGTTGTTCCATTCTGTGACTCATGGCATGATCTTTGAGCACTGAACTCCGACTGAAGCTTTTCCCACACTCTTTACATTTATATGGTCTCTCTCCTTTGTGAGTTCTCAGATGTAAGTGCAGGTGTTTTTGTTGTGTGAAGCT